TGTGCATGTGACAGTTGCACATTGAATAAGGAAGACTGAAGAAGCATCAATGCATTTGAATTATGGTGCTGGCAAACTATGGAAAGCTCAAACAACAAGCAAATGATATTAGAAGAATTACCGCCAGAATGCTCCTTAAAGGCAAGGATGATAAGAGTTTGTCTAACATACTTTGGACATCTTATCAGGAGAGATTAGTCCCCGGAAAAAATCATCATACTTGGTAAAGTACTAAAAGAAGCAAATATAGGAAGGTCTGTGATAAGACAGATTGACATTGTGGTTTCAACAATGGAATCAAACGTAAGAATTTTGTGGATACTGTTTTCCATAATATCACTGAATTGGAATAGGCTGGACAGCACCTGACAACAACATGAGTGATTTCCACTAATCTATATCCAACCAGTAAGCTACATATGCCGCCTGTGCACAGCAGCCTCGACTGCGCCTTCCCCACCTGTACACAGGCCACCACTGCCACCACCTACTACAGCGCACACATCACTGCAAATGCATCCATCCCACCAGCCCAGGGGGCAAGCGCTTGGCAGGTCCCTGGCCTCATGCTCCACAAGCAGACACCCATGCCCACCTGACTCCCTTCCCTTCTTGAACCTACAAGAGCTGTGAGGCTCCTGGCTTGAGTGAAAACCAAGCCAACCAATGCTAAAAGCAAAACAACAACAACAAAACACCTTATTTTTCTTTCAGCTCACATTGCCTTCTTCCCCCACCCCCATTTTCCCTTTTAATATATTTTACTATTATTAATTTTATTACCTATTTCAGAGTGCTGGTGGTGTAGTGGTTGCACATTGGCCTGTGATCCACATGGTCAGCAGCATGAACCCCCTAACAGCTCCTCGGGTTAAAGAGGGGGCTTTCTACTCCTGCAAACAGTTAGTCTCAGAACCCCACAAGGGTCACTAAGATTCAGCCTGGATTCAATGGCAGTGAGCTATTTTTGTTGTTGTCACCCATTGCAAAATCCATTTTACTTTTATTAACTTTAGCACCTCCTTTTCCTCTTTGTTCTATTTTACCCACACAACCTAGTCTCTCTCCCACACCCAGCAGTCTATTTTGTTATAGAGACATCATAAAATATCAGTGCAGGTGCGTGTGCAAACACACAATCACGAAATACACACACATACACAAACATGAACAATACCCAATACAATGGACTTTTCTGAAGAAGAAAACACGAAAGACCCTCAAAATACATCACTCACACTTTCACAGTGCTGAAAAAGGAAACAGACAATAAAACAACAATAATAGGAGACCAATATATGACTCATGAGGAAGAGTGGATTATCTGGAAAGAAACTCAGTCAAATCAGAGAACAACAAAACAAATCAATTCAGTTGCTTCGATATAATCAGAGTACCCCATCCAACAAGAGCATTGTGTGCATTCTCTTCTAATGTACATGGAACATTCTCGAGAATAGATGATATGTTGAGGCACAAAGCAAATTTGATAAATATTAAAATATTGACATTATACCATCCAGTTTTTCAAACAATGCTATAAAATGAAAAACCAGCAATATAAAGAGCAAGGCCCCAAATCCAAATGCATACAAAAAGAAACAGATTACCCCCAAATCATTGGGGCACAGTTAAGCAGTTCTAAGAGGGTTATACTGTTGGCCAAGAAGTTGGCCGAAGGAAGGTTACCTGGCCCTTAAAGGAGTCCTGCAGCTCAAAGGTTGTCTGGTTTCTGGGTAGTTGGGCCTAAAGAGTTCCTTTGGGTACTGAGGTTATCTCAGAGCAGGACACCTGGTCTTAGAATGAATTTCTGTCATCTGAAGGGTGGCTTTTGGCAGGCCACCCATCCGAGCAATGCATGTTCTGTTGGCCCAAAAGGTGGAGAGTGTTTGCCACCAGACATAGGGGTAATGAGCATCCAGGGCCCGATTGAGAGGGGTATACCTCCTCAATAGACCTCCGTTGGAATGGGTGCTATGCAGAAGGAGGGGGGTTATCTCCTGCCGCTGAGTGGGTGTAGGTCAGGGCTGGCCGCACTTTTGGTCACTAGGGAAGTAGGTAGAAAAAGAGGAAAATTACACTTTCTGCTCACCAGCCACTAGTGTGGGTGCTTACCCCGTGCTGGGCCAATAGTCACTATCACAATTGGAATGCTGTTTTCAGAAGTTCAAAAGAGCCACGCTGTTAGGACATCTGACAATTGAACATTCCATTTTTCTCTGTTCTCTCTTTGTGATCAGCTTCCTCTTCTATCTGGCATTTGATCTACTTCTTTGTTAATCTTTTTTTTGGAAGTCTAGTTTCATGATTACTAATCACATCTGTCTCATGACTCTGATGTACAGGCTCTGGGTTACAAGTAGCTCTAGTATATACATCATCCTGCCCCACTACATACAGTCATTTTTGAACTGTGCTTTTTTGAGTATTGTATGTTGTCCTCCATTCTATATTTATTATTTGAATAAGATTTTTAAAAATTCATTAAGAAAAGAAAACCTATGTGGCATGTTTTCGAAACCTTTAGGGTTATAATAAAATATCAACCTTGCCTATTTTCATGGTTAAACAATCTTAATAAAGAGTGTTTCCCTAAGGGTACAGGAAGAGGGGGAGGGGGCTGGGGGAGCTGTTGACTATATAACCCCACTTGAGGGGAACAAATAACAGAAATGTAGGTGAATGGATATATTGGATGGTGTAAGATACAAATATATTATTTTATTTTTGTTATTTTATATAATATAACATAATAAGGATTCCTGGAGGGTAGGGCAGGGGAGGGAAGGGATAAAGGGGAGCTGATATCAAAGAGTTCAAGAAGAATGAAAATGCTTTGAAAAAGATGGTGGCAGCAATTGCACAATTCTGCTTGATCTAATTGAATTATGGATTGTTATAATATCTGTAAGAACCCTCAATAAAATGATTTATTTTAAAGCAAGTGTGCTTTTGAGTCCTGGAAATGTAGCTCCATTTGGTTTCAGCATTTGCTTTCTAACAAATCGGCTCAGGCACCTCTGCTTTCGGTGCTTCTGCTCATACTCCCTCGTTTCGCTCCCTCTGAGCAATGCTGTCATAGTGGGTTAAACATGGGGCTGCACTGCAAGGTCCACCCAGGAGACTCACCAGCCACCCTTTAGGAGAGAGGTGAAGCTGTTGCTTCCTGTAAAGATTTATGTTCTCAGATATCCTAAGAAGCAGTTGTACTCCGTCCTATAGGCCTGGTGTTGAGATTTTGTTCCAGATTGATGATACCTGTGTGGAGGTAGGAGTGGACTCAGACCTGTCTGTGGGATCATAGTATGCCTCCTCGGGGCTGTGACCTTTCTTTAAAAAATCCAGTGAAGACTTCCATCGCTCTTGCCCTCTGCCTTCATCTTTGCTTGGATTTGGTGTCTACTCTCCAGGGGCAGACTCTATGTTTCCACCACCCTTGGATCCACATGACTCTGCACCCACCAGCCTATGATCTCCCTGCTTCCTGCTTCTGCTTCATTGACCTGCAGCTACATGAGTCTAAAGAGGACTCCGACTTAGCCTCAGAGCCGGGGACTTGAGTTGGACTGATCTGGAATGCAGTCTTGATATGTTCTTGATATAAAGTTATTTTTATACATATACGAATGCCACAGGTTTCATTTCTCTATACAATCCAACATAATGCATAGGGTTGCTATGAGTTGGAATCAACTTGATAGCAAAAGTGGCTTATATGCTTCTGAAGTCTCTCTTTGCCATCACTCTTTGGGAATTCCGTAAAACAGAGTACATTTATGTTCCCATTGGAAGTTTTAACTCTTTGCCCTTAGATATAATGTGCACTCTCAAGATTTGCTTATAGGAAGTGGTTGGCATTAGTATATATTTACTATTTTTCTAAAATTGCTTTATTTCTGCTTTTGCTGTTATTTCTTTTTAATTTCAAAAGATTTGTAAATTTACTCTCCTGAATATTATGTTTCAGATTTATGTCCATTGCTATGATACCTTTAATTCAATAGTTGTAAACTTAGAACCGATAGAGTTCAAGCATGTATCAAAAACAAGTGAAGCCAGGCTGGCATAGTCCCAGTAATTAGTGAGATTTGTACAAACTGGAGAACAGCTGTTCCCTTGAGAGAAGGCCGCCAGAGTTCACATCCAATATGGCACCCTGCCGACACAGTCTGCCTGCTCCCCCCAAAGCAGTGACCCTAAAAACCAAGGGAAACTCCTGGAGATGATTATCCTAGAACTCAACAGCAAATATGAGGTAGTACTGTGACACTTTCTTTTTTTTAAGTTTTGCTCTTTTTGTTACTAATTTTTTTTTTTTATTCTAAAAATATGGAACGCTTCACGAATTTGCGTGTCATCCTTGCGCAGGGGCCATGCTAATCTTCTCTGTATCGTTCCAATTCTAGTATATGTGCTGCCGAAGCGAGCACACTAATTTTTTTTTTTGCAATAGGATTTTATGTATAAAATCTTGAAAGAAAAAAAATGCCAGTGCTTATGGAATGTACTCTAGAATACATGTTACACAAAGTCCACAAAGCAAGAATCAGTAAATTTGAAACATTAAGATACTATAAACTAACTTTTGAGATCACAGTGCTATGAAATTAAAAATCAATGATCAGAAGATCAAGCAAAATAAAAAAATTAACCAGAAATTGAACAATGCCTTAATTAAAATAACAGTGGGTAATTAAATTATATGACATTTGGATATGTCCTAATAAAACTGCTTATATATTTTAAAAAGTGATTTTCTTTGTGGGCACTGAAATTAATATCACAGAACAAACTGTGTATGAATTGACAAATGGAAATTTCATTCACTTTGTAAACATTCACTCAAAGCACAATAAGATAAGTTAGCTAAATTATATTCTGATTTAATGAACAGAATTCCATTTTTCAAAAAGAAAACCCTTGTTTTTGATATTTTTAAAAATGGAGTGTTTCCCCTAACAAGGGAAAAATGAAAAAGTAGAAAGGGTCTTACAACTTACCATTATGATGATCTTGGTCATACACAGAAAGATCTGCTATTTCATCTTCTTTTGTATTGTCATCCTTTGTAGTAACTGAGACAACAAACAAGCAAAACCTTTAGTTAACACAGGAAACGAGAAAATAAGCCAACTCTAGCACTAATAAGGTAGAGAGATATATGTCTGGGATGAGCTAAAACTTATTATTTGAAAACATAACGATTGAGAATTTTCAATAAGCTAGATTAGACATTCAAGCTACTCAGACACTGTAACAGCCATGCCAAACCGAGTGAAACAGATATGGATGATCACCGTGAGATCTATCGCTTCAAAAGAAAGAATAAAGAAAACTAAGTAGAAGAAGAAACAATGAATCCCGCAGGCAAGGAGACAAATGAAACCATCACTTGTCAAGTAGCCTGACACAGCATGACTCTGTTGTTTTTGCAAGCACAATTCTGATTGGGACAGAAACATCTAATCAGCTCTGGTTGCCCCATTACTGCACCAGAACCCACACTGGTAGCTGGTGACCAGAAAGTTTCTATCTTTCCCACACCTTTCTGGTGACCCAAACCCGGCCATCCTTTACCCTTACCCACATGGTGGCTGGCAATACCCCTCTTGTTCATTTGTCTCCTTGCCTGCGGGATTCATTGTTTCTTCTTCTACTTAGTTTTCTTTATTCTTTCTTTTGAAACGATAGATCTTCATCAAAGATCAGAGGTGTATCTGGGGAACTGGGAAATGATGCAAGTTACTTCTCAGAAACAAACTGTTTGCTTCTTGAGAACAGTGCCAGCCAGGTGTGCCCTTCCCCCAGGCACAGTCTAGACCAGCAAGAAATTTGCCCTGGCCTGGGAGTCCTATCGCACACACACTGTAGGCCAGAGGGAACTTCTCCATGAACCCCAGACACTTCTAAGCCACCTAGATTTCCTCCTATAACAGGCACCTTCCTGCTCCTAGTTGCTTTCTAAGTAAACAGTACTCATTTGGGTACGCTGCCTTCTGCTACCAAGCCTGCTGCTCGCAGCCGGCTTCCAGGCTTGCAGGAGCTCAGTACTAGGCAGGGTGCCTCCCCTCATGTGGCATCATCAGCCAACAGAGTGTACTTATCAGTACCAAAGCTCTGACCATGGCCTCCTTAGCAGTCAGGAATGCTGCTTAGGTTTCTGATTCTACTTGGTCCAGTGTTCTGCTTTCCTCTTTAAAATTTTGTTTCTGTTTCTCCTTTTACTTTCTATTTACAATCTTTTCTTTCTTCCCTTTCCTTCTTTGGCTTGTCTTCTTTACTAATCTCTTTTTAACTTATCCCTTTTTGATTTTTTTCTTTTTTAATACATTCCATTTCTTTCCCCCTTCTTTTGTTTCCTTTTCTTCCCCCCTCCTTCCTTCATTCCTCTTTTCTCCTTCCTTCCCTTCTTCCTTTTACATTTTAACAGTTTTAATAACCTAATTCATATTTCACATATTCAATGGTTTATATGTATTAAAAGAGCTGCATAATCATCACCACTATCAAATTTTTAAATATCAAAATCCTTTTCTTCTTTTTTATACTCATTATTACTAGATTCACCTTTCCTCATACCCTCCCCTGCCACATCCCTAAGAAAACTGTTCATCTGATTCCTATCGCTATAGCTTTCTCTCTCCTGGATTTTATGTAAAGAAACGCACCACACTACAGCAACAACAACAAAACCAACTACCGACAACAAGAACAAAATAAAATGGGGGAAATCCTCAATCCAAAAGAAAATAAAAAATATAAAAAACTAGAACAAATTTGAAATGTGTCAAAAGGGAAAATAATAAGATGCTAAATTTTAACCTAATTATATCCCAATCTATTTTCCAAAGCCCTCAGTCTGATAGCAAGTGTGTTAACTGAGTTCTCTAGAGAAGCAAAACCAGGGGTGCATGTTATGTGTTTACACATGGAAAAAGATTTACATCAATAAATGGCTCACACAATTGTAAAAATAGTGAGTCTAGTCTCATTTGTCAGGTTTCTCTTGGCTCAAAGAAGTTTATGAGCAGGAAACAGGATGATGAAGCAGAGGCAGTGGGGGCACAGGCTGGCAGATGCCAAATTCAATGAATGTGAAGCCAGCCAAATGAATCCATTGTTGGTATTTGCAGGCAACAAAATGGACATCAAGGAAGCAGACATGAGATCCAGCTCCAGCAGAAGGCGAGGGACAAAGAGAATTCAACTCTGGTCAGTCTGTCTTATATAAAAAGCCATACCTTCAAGAAAGTATCATCAGTCTGTGACCTACTTGATCAGATTGGTTTCACCCTTACCCAGGAATGTCCAATTGGCAAAATCCCTAACCATCACGGATAAGCCCTGATCAACTTGAAGGCTGTACATAGCTCTTTACCCATACTTAATCAACAAAAACAATAAGATCATGCTTGAAACTAGCATGATACACAAACACATGTACAACCCAAACCCAATGCATTTTATATGTTAGAATGAACAAAATAAAAATATTGGGGACATATGTACAAATAGTAATTATTCATAGCAATTACCAACCCCATTTCTGCAGGTAGTTAGTGGTTATAGCTACTATTTCTTTTTTTTATTATTGTGTGGCAGAAGGAATCTTTTTTTATTTTTTAAACCATTTTATTAAGGGTTCATACATTTCTTATCACAATCCATACATGCATCAATTGTGTAAAGCACTTGTACCTTCTTATACTACTCATTCTGTATTTCCTTTGCCCTGAGTACCTCTGCTGGCCATGGTTCTTGCCTGGTGGAGTGACCTAAACCTTCATTCCTGAAGAGTATTGGATATTAGTAGCCGTGTCAGAATTGGGGTGGTGGAGTTTACCATCAACTTGAGTCAAAATGCATGGTAGTATTAAGAGACAACCTAAAGAATCTCCTTACTCCCAGACATCGTCTTCTATACCCCAATTTTGCAATCCTTATCCAATTTAACCCTGGCAGTCAGGATCAGTCACATCACTCAAGAAAGTGAGGCAGAGGCACGAGGAGTCCAAAATGTCCAAGAGACAGCCTTACCTTCCAGGTAAGTGGAATTGGTTCTTTGTCGCTGAGAGTATTCCCCTCTTTGGGACAAAGATGTTCAGAGGCAAAGAACAGAGTTTCAGGGACAGGGAGGGAAAATATGGTGAGTGAGAGGTGCTACTCCCATTTCCACCCCTTGGTTCCATTCCTGGACCCATGAATCCTGGCTTTTGGAGAAATACCACCATGCAGTGATTGCTGGTTAAGAACATATACAACCTCCTGAAACATTGCCCAATCCTTGCAAGATGTTGCCAGCAAGCTGGCACCATAATTGTGTCCTTAGAAGTCCATTTCATTTTTCTATCAAGCCAGCTGATTCAATATGATGAACATGGTAACACCTCTAGATTCCATGAACACCTCTAGATTCCATGATAATGTGTACATTGCCACACCTTATTTATTGAGAAGTGAGTTCCTTTGTCTGAAGCAATGCTGGGCAAGATCCATGCCCGTGACTGAGACATTCTGCAAGCCCATGAGTGGCAGTTTAGGTAGAAGCACTACATACAGGAAAACCGAATGTGTATGCAGAGTAAGTACCCATCTACTCCATTAAGAACAAAATGTTACCTTTTTACATGAAGAAAGTGGTCTCATGTAATCAATCTACCACCAGGGTGCTGGTTGATCTCCCCTTCCCACCCTTTCCATCCTGAAGGAAGATCCCGTGTCTTAAACACAGCGGTTTTTGCTGCTGGTGCATTGAGCATCTGGGAGCATTCCCTTTATTCAAGTGCCCATTGGGCAAGGACAGGGATGGCTGCAGAAGGAGGATGACTGATTTCCAATGGCCATGTCATCCTTGCCAATTTGTTGTTAAAATCCCATTCTGCAGAGGTAACCCTTTGGTGAGCGTTCACCTGAGACACAAATATCACCCTCCCCATTTTTTTTGCCTTTTCAGATAAGTCTGTCCACATGTATCTTATCCATACTTCCTTCCATGATTTATAGAATCCTGCAGTTACTCAATTAGACAAAAATCCAATGAATAGAGGAGGAGGAAATGGCAACCCGATAGGACGCACCTGTCCAGAGCTCCTGCTGCCAGACCAAAAATTGGAAGGTAGGGTGAAGGGAACTGGGAGGTTGAGTCCAGAAATTAGAACTAGGGTACTAGCGTCTCTCCTGAACCCCTTTTTTGACAGTAATTTCTACTCACAAAGCAAACCAAGAACACTTTAAAGCGCTCTAGATCTCACATGCCAGCTGCGCCCTTGCCGGGAGCAGCGATTTCTCCAGGCTGACGCCTTAAAGGGGACAAAACCCCAGACACAGGAGAACCCCACGCAGCTCTCTGCGCTGTTGGCTGCCCTGAGCTCACTGCCCCCATGGGGAGTGGCGGTGGCAGGTAGCCATAATTTAGAATAGAAGAAAAAGCAGATTATTACCTAAAGTAGATCGTGGTATGGGAGAAAATAAGCGGAATCCAGGGAATAGAATTAATTCCAATCGGCTGAGAAGGAAACAACCCCCCTGATAAGCTGGATCTCCCCCTCTGGGGACCATCCTGACAGCCCCCAAATCAGAGCACATCACAAGCATTAAAAATAAATTAAAAAGGTGAAATATATATTATTGGTTAATAACTCAAACCCCAGTCTGGTTTCTCAGCTGCAAAGAGCACATAGGCGGGGGTCCTTAACATAAATCAGCATATGAAGTAACCTAGCTAAGGCATGCCAGAACCCAGGTACAAGGCCTGGAGGCTTTTTGCATAACAAAGACCCGCTGTAGCAAGTGTCAGTTTCAAACAGCATGAAGCTGCAAACTGGAGATTGTGTGTGACAAGTTAATTTGATTTTAGTCTATCTGGCCAGGGGGATAAAAAATAAATAAAAATAAAAGCCTTTGATCTAGAAGTAGGACACCAGCAGCCTAGATAGAACAACAAGCCCAGCTTCCATATCAGTGACTCTACACATAGCTAGGGAGGCCCTGCTGGCCCTGGGGCCCTAGACCGGGCTGTGGGAACACCCCGCTCTCCGCCCCTGCTGCAGTGCTACAATACAGCACAAGGCAGGCA